TACAAAGTAATATGGTTTATTTGGGATGCAGAAGGTCTAATAAAATAAATGATTAATAATTAAAAAAGAAAAAAAAAACAATAACAAGATTTTTAACAAATAATAGTTCTGATGAACCATTTTGTCAATAAAGATCCTATATTAATTCTTACTATTCAGAAAATTCTTCAGAATCTGTTACGAATTTACAAGTAACAGCACCACATTGAAAAGTATGACCATTCTTTTTGAATTCAGATTGCAACCAACTAAAATTAACTCCATAAGAACTCTCATTATTCATAAATAAAACATAGCTGATAGTTTTTAATTTTGGATCTTGTTGAATATGCCAATAGTTATAATTCATCAATTGTTTTAATCTTTGTTCACCAGCTTCACCCTGAAACAAACAAGAATATTTTCATTTCACAGAACTATATCAGAAAGAAGGCTCATGTTCAAAAAGATAAACAAATATATTTTCTGAAAAGGTGTTAATAGAAACTTGTTTGGTACCTATGGAATACCTATTAAAACCAAGATGTTTCTTAATAAGAACAATAAACGCATCTTAATAAAATGTGATTTGCTCAAAAGAAGGTTGAATAAGTGAATAGCAGTGAGGTATAATTTTGTTATTTCTGTGCTTAATTCTTTCATGAATAACAAGTTTTTTTCAGGAAGAAAAAACCTCTTAACAAAGTTGGTATTTACTAGCTATGGTGAGTCTAATACCTGGATAGTTCTTGCTTAATAATTAATTAACGAACTAGAAAAGGTAGTAACAACTTTTTAGATATTCAAGATATTAACTGTTGTCTTGGTTTAGGATAAGGTGTAGATTGTAAAAGTGCTAATGTGTATGCTTGTTGAGATTATGCTAAAGATGGTATTAGTGATTATTGCTAACAAGGCATTTAGATATTTAAAATATCATAATTAAATTTTTTAAACGATTTAATTGGTTAATAATATGTTTGATCATTATATGTGACAAAATCAAATTTTGTGATAAATTGAATAGAGTCAAATCCGCCCATATGCATTTTTTTTAAATTTTACTTGTATATGTAAATCCTCGCTACGTTTCGAACAATAAAATCTTCAAATAGTAAATGTAGAGATTTTTTAAAGAAATGTAAAGAAAACTTTTTTTTACTAAGTAAGTCACTCTTGGGCTTTAAACAAAAGTTGTAGAGCTCATCAAGATGTATCTAATGATGGTAAGAATGCTAAAATCAGCCTGGTGGTTCTTGAGAAACCTTTAAAAACATTTTGCCAACATATAAAATTTCTTTAAAAAAAATTGATTTTTTTTAAAGAAATTTTATATGTTGGTGAAATGTTTTTTAAAGATTTCTCAAGAACTACCATGCCGATTTTAGCGTTTTCATCACTATTAGATATGTCTTGATGAGCTCTACAACTTTTGTTAGAAGCCCAAGAGTGATTTACTTAGTAAGAAAAAAGGTTTAAAAAAAATCTCTCCACATTTGGCTTAATAGTAAAATTTACTTATAAAATTTGCAGATCCTCTCCAGATGATAGATGAATTGTCTATTAATAAGTATATGAATAAATATAGAATAAAGTTAGTATAAATAATTAACAATTTTAAAGTAAAGTTAATTGTAGTAAATTTAAGTAATATAGATAATTAAATTTATATTAGATATGATAAAAATTTGATATTTTTGATTGTGTTTCAAGTAAAAATAGATTGGCTTGATAAAGAGTAAAGATTTGCAGTAATTTGTAATTGTATAGTACAGTTATATACTATTTAGTAAATAATAAGTTTGTGTTAAATTGGCAATACATGTTTGTATAAGTGCTTTATAAAGTAAAATTGATTTGTATGATAGTTAAACTAGTTAAAAAAGTAATAGGTAGTTATACAAAAGGTGTGCATAGAGAAAATTTTGGAGATAAAAAAAGAAATTTTAGAAAAAGAAGTTATAAGAGAGTAGAAGTTGTTTTTAGCCATATTTAAGTTAATATAAGGTTTATAGACTATATTTAAAACTTGTTTTAATCAAAAAATAAGCTCTATAACTTTTGTTATAAGTGTAAAGTAGATTATAGTAACTGTTTATAAGAAATAGTTAAAAGTTTAATTTGGGTGGCCAAAGACCATAATTGTAGTTTTAAACTATGGGTTTAAAAGATATAGATTTGAAACTTTCAGAATATATATAAAATTATGAGCAAACAAGTTTGTTTAAGATACTAAAGCAAATTTTCTTAGTAAAGTTTTGTGTTATTTAAGTTTTTGTATAAATGAATTTTTATATTAATTTTTATATAAGAGATTTATAGAAAGAATCGCTCTTGACTATATTTAATTTACACATAATATTATTTATTTTTTATATATAATATAGCTAGCTAAATCTTCTCTTTTTTGTATCACTATATAGTAATTATAGTAGTTTCTTTCTCTAAGTACAAGTTTTATATACTATATACTGTATTTCTCTTCTTTTATATTGCTATAATTCTTTATATAGTTCTTCTATTTGTATCTTAACTTCTTTTTCTATAATAAGTTTTTTCTAACATATTTTGCTAATATTTGTTTTATATAAATTGCTACTTTTTTGTTGATCTTTGTTGTTGTTTTTGTTTATTGTATTGTTTTGTTTATATAAACTTCTGTTTGTGCTTTGGCTTCTTCTAATCTTTTAAGCTTTTTTCTATCTTTTTTTTTTCTTTGGCAATTTTACTAGTAATTCTTTATTAAGATTATTATATAAATAAATTATATAATATTAAACTTAATATCTAAGCCTGATATCTCTCGGCTGTCTTTATAGATACCCAAAAGTGGTTTGCTATACTAGGTAGAGTTTTGTAGTCTCCAATCTAAAAGACTATTACCAAATTGTCTTAGAAGCATTAGAGATCTCAAAGAGATCTTGGTTTAAGTTTGGTAAGTCAAGTTTATCTGAATACTCTTCTGCTATACTATTGAGTAATTCTATTTTATCTAATCCTATTTTTATTTAGCTATTTAAAATAATTTTTTTTTATAAAAATACTATACTATCTAATTCTAAACTAATATTTTTTCTTTTTTTTCTCTAATTTATTTTATATTTTTTTACAGATAACTTGACTTTAATCTTTTTATGCTTCTTTTTTTTTCTTTTTATCTTTGTTGGTTATTATTGGTTCTTTACTCTATATTAAAATTTTCTTTTTTACTTTTTTTATTTTTCTAGTTTGTTTTGGTCTTTTTACTTCTTTTTGTTTAGACTAGCAGTCTTTTCGAATTTATTAAAATCTTTTTTAGTAGTTTCTCCTATAATATCTTTAATTTGTCTTTTATTTGATTAGCTTTCTTTTTTTTATTATCTATAATTTTCTCTTCTAATTTGTTATGCAGTTGAAGGTAGTTTATTGTTAATTCTCCTAAAAGATACTCAAGATTCTCTCTTCTTTTGCTTCTTTGGAGTTTTTTTGTTTTGCTTTTTTTTCTCTAAGACCTGCTATCTACTTTTGTATTGATATAATTTCTTCAGATACTCTTCTAAATAGTCATTAGATAAATTTTCTTTTTTGTCTATAAGATTCTTCACTTTATCTTTATTGTTTTTTCTTTTTTTATCTTCTTTAGAGATTATCACTTCAATATTTTTCTTTTTTTCTTGGCTTTGTTTAACAATATATATATATATACTTCTTTAATTTGTTAGAAAGAATCTCTTATTTTTTCTTCCTTTGTTGTGATCTTTGCTCTAAACATTTTTGCTTATGAGTTTGAATCTATATTTTATCTTGCTTTAATTTTTTTATATAATCTTCTATCTGCATTTTAAATATCTCTGTATTTGTCAAAATTTTTAAATTCTTCTTATCTTCTTTTCTATTGTTCTGTATTAGAAAAGATAAATTTTCTTGTTTAAGTTGTTAAATTAAACTCTATTCTATATTTTTTTGAAGTGCTTGTTGCTCTTCTCTTTTTTTTTAAAAAATCAACTATTCAGTCTTTATAAAGCTCTAGTTCTTCTAAATAATCTTCTATTAATTCATCTAATATCTTCATAGGTTTGTTTTGTTTTCTAGAATCTACTTTTTTTTTAGTACTCAACTTTTTAAATGCTATTCTTTTATTTATATTTGTCATGTAATCTGTAATTAGATTATTTTGTTTACTTCTAAATATACTGTAAATCTACAAAATAACACATATCTATATATTATTTTAAATATTTATACATTATTTTAGATATGCCTATATGTATTATTTCAAAATAAAGTTAATATTCTGAGCTATATTATATATTTGCTTATGTGTAGAGATGTTAATAGTCTATTTTGATATATAAAATACATGCTATTTTGAAATACATATAGGTATTATTTTGAAACTAGATATACTATTTTTAGAAGATACAATTTTTGAAATAACATCTATAATTATTATTTTACAAATTTACAATATGTTCTATTTGTATAATGATAACAGATCTGCAGTATAGGATCAAGTACAATTTTTTAAAAATTGCTTGCAAAAAATAAAATTTTGTTAGTTCTTTGCTATTTTTCTTCTTTTTTGTCTAAAGCTTTAACTTTTAACTTTTGTCTCCTAAGAAACTAGATATTATTTTATATATTTTTTCTCTTTACCTAATATTGCGAACTGTATTTCTTTAACAAAATATATATTTTGTTAATTTTTGTTTATAACAAATTTGTATCTAGAGAATTAGTAGAAAGAGTTAAATAAACTTTAAGTATATAAGTTTTTTTCTATTGATTATTATCAAATATTTAATATAAGTTGCTATTTTTCTATTATTATTAGTTGTTGTTGTTGTTGTTTGTTATTTTTGTTTATTTTATTTGTTTTATTTATCATATAACTTTTAGTATATTTTTTTGTTTATTTTTTATTATATATTGTGACTCTTATATTATCATAATAGATTTGTATTACAGGATTAAGGCTAATTCTCTAAAATTTGCAAAGTACAAGAAAAATATCAATAATTTTTCATATTTCTTTTTATTTTTTGCTATTTCTGCTTTTCTTACTTGAGTTTTTTAAAAACTAAATATTCTTTGCAGTTTTTTTCTTTTTTTTTAGAGTTCTGAGTTTGGTTTTTTAGTAGTTTTGTGTGTTTTTTGTAGTTTTTTATTAATTTTCATTTTTATAAATTGTGTTTTTTAATAAAAAAATTACAGTTTAACCTCTCTATAATCACACCCCTCAGGATAAAGATTTGTGTGATTATAAAGAGAATTTTACTAAGATATGCTTATAAGAGATTTTTTTTTTTTTTATATGTTTATAATAGTTGGTTTTAAAATAAATATAATTATAAAGAGAATTTTTATATGATATGCTTATATAGAAGGTGACTATAGAGAGGTTTGACTGTATATTATTTTTGAAAATTGCTATTTTTACTATAATAAATTGCTATTTTTATTATAATTATATAAGAATTTCTATTTTTAATATTTAATATAAAAAATAATAAGTTAATAGTTTAAATTTATATAATAAAATAAGGGTGTGGCGACTTAGTGAAGTGGTTAAGTTGTCACACCCCCAAGCGATA